TTGTAAATAGGGGCACGCTAGTGCTCTGGAATGCGTTTGCATCCGCGCGCGCCTGTCCTCCTGACGGGCACACCGGGCACAGGAAACCGTCCAACGAGCTCGGAGGTGTTAAACTACGAGCGAAGGGAAGGGTGTTGATGTTAAAGTGTGCATAGGCTTACTGTTAATGCGCTGATGGTTGCTTTGCCCCCTTGCGTTTCCCCTCCCCTCCGCTCAGCGGGAGAGAGAGAGGGGGGAGGGAGGGAAATAAAGAGGAGAAGTGCGAGAAAAGAAGCGATGAGCGAGGGAGGCGGCTCGGGTGGCTCCGTTTTGGGTCGCGTGTCATACAATTGCAGTAGGTATCATCACCTCATCCCAACAGTCGAGATGAGGCGAGGCTTCGCTGCTAGCGCTGCACACACACACACACACACACACACACACACAGTTTGCCAGCCACTGTCCGTCCTTGCCTCCCTCTATAGTTGCACAACAATACAGAGCATCTCTGCGCGCGATCGCACGCCCGCCCCGCAGGCAACGCCATGACTTGCACAGTTCACAAAAGCGCACTAAGAGAGAGGAATAGGCAGCCAAACGACCTGGAATATTGTGTGAGTGCGCGCGCGCGCGGTTGTGGCCACGGTCGCGTGAGGCTGCGCGCTGAATTCTCAACGGGCGACAGGTGCACCTTACTCTCGCGAGCTGGAGAATAAATGAGAGCGGTGTTAAAGGCTACCGGGAGGATTTCGGGGGCAGCTCTCTACAAATCTCAATCCTTGTCAGGCACGCGCTCGCTTTTACGTTGCGTTTGTCGATTCAGAGTCGTTTTCTGGGTTACTGAGTGACGAAGGGAATGTTTTCGATCACTGCGTCACACATCACACACTGCGAGTGACACGAGACGATCAATGGACGCACTGGGGCAGCGCGTGAGTGAAGTGTGTGTGTGCTCAGCATCAGTGCGACCAATCTGCGCTCTCCGTCTGCTAATGAGTGTGTATGTGTGTGTCCTTTCTTCCAGTAAGCGCTTCGCCGAGCTTCTCCACTTCTCCGCGCCTCGAGAGGACTGTTGACTTTAACGCGCTGGACAGATGAGCGGGATGCGCGCGAGTCAGAGTATGACATTCCCGGCATTCCAGCGGGCCACTCTCTGGGCGCTCGCGGCCTTGACGATGCTTCTGGCGACCTCCGTTCGGAGCAACTTCGTTTTCGGTAAGAAATCAACCCCTCCAATCAGCTCCCCCCTCATGTTTTTACTGATTTCTGTTTTTACAAGGGAATCACAGAGCCGTTAATAAGCTCGTGGGGCACAGAGGAACCTCCCCCCCCCCTGTATCTCAGCTCCAACGGAATTTTCTGCTGGATTCTGTTATTTGGGGAACTGTAGCAGTTTCTATCTATCTATCTATCTATCTATCTTGCTGGACTAAATCTTCTTATCAATATGAACTAATTTTTCATTAGAAAGTGTTTTAACATACTTTGAAGGAATTGTTACTGTGGCCCAGTAGTGCACAGCACAACGAAATCTCCACAACACAACGGAAACAAGCCGCAACACAATGAAATTAGTTTTATGCATTGTGGAGATTTTGTTGTGTGCACTACTGGGCCACCATAGATTGTAGATCGGTGGAATGTATCATAGTCAGCAAATCATTAGGCCCTACTGCTTTTAATTTAGTACAAATACACCACAAATAGAGGCTATAGATCTATCTATCCTCAAGCACATGTGCACACATTACACAATCCTAACTGAGTTGGACTGAATCAGTCTTCTGGTTTGTGTAGGTGTGTGGCTATTGGTTCTCTATAGAGTTAAGGACCGAACAGCATCTTTATCAAATCCTTTTCATTATAAAGTCTAAATTTGTTCATGAAGGAATGCAGCGTGTGTTGAAATGCCTGGTTCATTGTCACTGTTTCAGCAGACTGATGAGTGGAGATCACAACTGCTTTTAATTTGAAGTAGAAGTATAATTGCTACACAAGTGTACACAATCCTAACTGAGTTGGACTGAATCAGTCTGCTGGCTTGTGTAGGTGTATTGTTACTCTCTAGGGTACTCTCTGAACAGATCTTCATCAAATGTCCAAATGTTTAAGTGAAAATATGGATGATTATTCATGAATGATGATTGTGATTTCCTTTTTCATTATAAAGTGTGAACTGGAGGTTTGCGTTGAAATGTTGGCTTCAGTGAGATGCTGTCATTGTTTTAGCAGTAATTAATCATTTTATTAATTTTCTTTCTTTCTTTCTTTCTTTCTTTCTTTCTTTCTTTGTATCGATCCTGATCTCGTCCTTTCTCTCTCACACACTTAAACTCTGTCAGCTGTTTTTGCTGCTCACTGCATTATTCATTATTGTGCTTTTTTGTGCTTTTGCATATCCACTGGCCCTATGCATGCTTAATGCGAATGTGAGTGTATGTGTGAGTGTGTGCAGGCTTTTTGCATATGTAAGAAACTCATACTTTAGATTATATGCAGTAGTAGAGCGGGTTGTTTGAGAGTATCACTGTAAAAAAAAATCTACTTTTACAGTCTTTTACCGTTAAATTCACGGTCATTTTTTACAGTAGGCTGTTTGATTGGTGTATGAACATGTTGAGTGCTGTATCTATAGTTGGAAACAGAGTACTTGTTTTGCAGGTTTGTATGTTCTGTCTGGTATGTTCTGTGTCTATCAGCACATACGTGTGATGCTGCTGGTTTCACCTACTTTTGCAAACTTTTCCTTTGCTGCTTTTTTCACCTATATCCACTACTAGCATCATTCATTAGAACAAAGTGCAAAGCTTTTTACATGAATGCAGGGTTTACCACAGAATTCTGTTTTGTTATTGGAGCCCCGGCCACCCTTCATTCTACATGTGTGTTTACATATTAGAAATTAATACTTTTATCCAGCAAGGACACATTAAAAAGTAACAGTAAAGACATTTGTAATGTTACAAAAGATTTCTATTTAAAAAAAATGATGTGCTTTTTAACTTTCTAGTGAAATATGGAGACTGTGCTGGAGTTTCTGTTGGATTTAGTGCAAAATAATATTGTTTACATATTACTATGATTGGGTTAATAAAAGTGTATCCCTATTAAATTGACACCTTACCTTTGGTCATTAGCAAACATGATTATGAAGGAAGATGTTCAGAAAACAGAAGCAGCGCTGTCTAATTTTTATTCACAAAGATCCGACTCATAAGAGTTATTGATTCGCGATTCAGACGACATTAATTGCGTTGTCTAATTTTGATTCACTAAAAAGAGTCGTCTCATGAGAGTCATTGATTCACGAATCAGACAACACTAATTGCATTGTCTCATTTTTATTCACAAAGATCTGGCTCATAAGAGTCATTGAATCGCAAATCAGACAACACTAATTGTGTTGTCTAATTTTGATTTACTAAAAAGAGCCATCTCATGAGAGTCATTGATTCGCAAAACAGAGGGCACTAATTGCGTTGTCTAATTTTGATTCACTAAAAAGAGCCGTCTCATAAGAGTCACTGATTCGAGAATCAGACGGCACTAATTGCGTTGTCTTATTTTGAGTCACTAAAAACAGCCGTCTCATGAGAGTCACTGATTCACGAATCAAATGACAATAATTGCATTGTCTAATTTTAAGTCATAAAGATCTGGCTCATAAGAATTTTGATTCACTAAAAAGAGCCATCTCATGAGAGTCATTGATTCGCAAAAGAGACGGCACTAATTGCGTTGTCTATTTTTGATTTTTTTTGTGAATCTGAATACACTCGCCACGTTGAGTTTGTTTTTCCCTGCGAAAGACATTATTTTGCGGAACATGGTTACACCGCAGTCACTACAGACTGCAAACACACAAAATATATTTTGTTTTATAGTGTCAACATAGATTATGTAAAATTAAATGCGTTACAGGAAACAAGTTTAGCTTGTCTGTTTCTATTTTGAGTTGTGGTGTTTGTTATTGTTAAATGTTCGATTTTAACTATTGTTGTTCTTTCTATTGCTGTAATTCTTAATTTTTGCTGTGTGCTCAAATTTGTTGAACCGTATTGTAAGTTGAATGCTATAATGAAGCATCTAAAAAAGGTTGTGAGTTTAGCAGGTGTATCAGGATCTAAGTTTATCAGAGTTTCACTTATCGTTTCTTGAGTAGGCTGTAAGTATTTGTGAGAGAGTGTGCAGATGTCCAGTCATGGTCTCTGATGTGAAGGCTATGCATTTGAATGTGTGTGTGTGTGTGTGTGTGTGAAAGGAAGACAACTTTTCACTTTGGTCTCTGAAGTGTGTATGTGTTAGTGGAGTTTTCACCCCTGGTCTCTGATGTCTGTGTGAGTGTTTGAGCGCATATGTTGCTCATGTGGTCTCTGATGTGTATGTGACTTGTAGGACCGATCACCCGTAGCCTCTGATATGTGTGCTACATCCTCTGTGACATGTCTGCAAGCAGCTCAACATGTGGTGGGAGCATCTGGATATCCTCCATAACCTGCTTGATAAATTCTGAAAGGTCATTTTAAAGAGGACGGCACAGCTCTGGGGCTCATTTCGTAGGGCTTAACAACTGTGCATCACAGATTCATCAAAAGAGGCACTGCAAGGGAAAATTAGCCTTATTGTTTGTTTGTGGCATTGTGTGGCTGCTGGCGGTCTGTTGTAGCATGTTGTTGTGTCCCTCCACTGACCTGAGACACATTTTGATAGTTATTTGTGATGCTAGTGCACATTTGGGCTGAGTGATTTATGCGGTCTTACCGTGTAAAACCTCAGTGATGCTGAAATGTGTGCATGTTTGTGAAAGCATGTCAGGATTAAAGTGGAATTATGTGTGTGTGTTATCTATTGAAGTGTGTGTGTGTGTGTGTGTATGTTTGTGTTATCGATGCCTTTAAGAGATCTTTAGAGTAATTTTCATTATAAATGGTCCTGAACAGAATGGCTACTTAGCATAAATAATGCAGAGTAATGGATCACTAAAAAACTGATTAGTCAGGCGACAGGCCACAAATTATACGCGCACTTTGCACATCTTAACCCCTGATGACTTTTCTTCTCTCACCACACAGGAAAACTCCAGAGGCCTGTGTGTGGAGGAACCACTCGTGGGATATAGTACATTTTATAAGTCATAATTATGGATTTCTTTCAAGTGGTTTATAAGAAAAAAATGTTTTTAATTACTCAAAAGTGAGTTTTGTCTCACTTGATTTACTCGTTTAATTTCAAGGAGAGCTAGAATGTTCTTTTTTCCTTTGCTCTCGCTGTTATTGTTCTCTTGTGTTACCATTTGTAGAGACAAATATTGTTGTACTATTGCAATGGCCCTTGTATAAGAGTGCTGTCAATACGGCTAGATGTGCCAAAGTGGTCATATCTTTAAACAATATTCTATTACAGTAAACAAACTGTAGTATGTTTTTCGATAAACAGTGTTTGTAAATGTAAAGATATATTGATTTAAAATGTTCTCTAACGTACTTTGTCTTTGTTCAAGATATGAGCTCCGTTCCAAGAGCCAGTAAGCAGTTTCTAGTGCCTTTTAAGGTATAGCATCTCAGCTGAAAATAAATTTTTCACAAGCTTGTCATAATGCATTCTTCTCCAAGAAGAATACATGCAATGCCGCTATAGAATTTGGTTGAAATGAGGTATCTTAGAAGGCAATAAGACATCACAGATGTGGAACAGCTTTTACATTTGTGATGCCTTAAAAAAAATATGCTCTAGGTTGGCAGCTTTCTAGGTTTTGGAACAGCAAAAGCTATGTTTTCCAACACATTGACAGAATGCATACCTATGAGCCGAGCCCCTCGCCGACCATCTGAAGCATATTGCACACCAAAATGGCAAGAGCTTTGTAAAAACATCAAGCTCCAAACTGACTGGCATTGCGCAATTCCTGGGAGCCAGTTTTTAATTCCACTGGAAAACAAAGCTCTCAGGCAATTACAGTGAGAACGTCAGAGTCACTATTGTCAAAGTCTGCAAGGTCTGTGATGTTGAATCTTTAAAAAAATATTTCAGTTTTGTTTTAGACAATTGGAAGCAAATACATTTTAAGATATCTATGATCACAGTTCTATATTCCCCTTTGCTGGCAGTCGAAATTAGGGATTGCCTGTAATGTTATAAAAAAGAATTGAAATTGTCTGAGTTCTTGTAGCTCAAACGGTAGGGCATGGTGCTCGCAATGGCAATATCATGGGTTG